TGTATGTATGTATGTATGTATGTTATGTATGTATGTATGTATGTATGCTATGTATGTATGTATGTATGTCTGTATGTCTGTAGTATGTACTGTCTGATCTGTACTGTATGTAGGTATTCTGTCTGTATGTATGTATGTATGTTGTATGTAGGTATGTCTGGCTATGTATGTATGTCGTATGTATGTTGTCTGTCTGTCTGTCTGTATGTCGGTATGTCTGTCTGTTGTCTGTATGTATGTCTGTCTGTTGTCTGTCTGTCTGTTGTATGTCGTCTGTCTGTCTGTCTGTATTCTGTAGTTGTATGTCTGTCGTTGTCTGTCTGTATCTGTCTGTCTGTCTGTATGTGTTGTCTGTCCTGTCTGTCTGTCGTCTGTCTGTTGTCTGTCTGTCTGTCCTGTATGTCTGTCTGTCTGTCTGTCTGTCTGTCTGTCTGTCTGTCTTCTGTCGTCTGTCTGTCTGTCTGTCTGTCTGTCTGTCTGTCTGTCTGTCTGTCTGTCTGTCTGTCTGTCTGTCTGTCTGTCTGTCTGTCTGTCTGTCTTCCTTCTGTCTGTCTGTCTGTCTGTCTGTCTGTCTGTCTATTGTCTGTCTGTCTGTCTGTCTGTCTGTCTGTCTGTCTGTCTGTCATGTCTGTCTGTCTGTCTGTCTGTCTGTCTGTCTGTCCTGTCTGTCTGTCTGTCTGTCTGTAGTATGTACTGTATGTATGTATGTATGTATGTATGTATTTATGTTATGTTGTATGTATGTATGTATGTATTAGTATTGTAGTATGTATGTATGTAAGTATGATGATGTATGTGTTTACATTCCAAAGGTATTAAAATTCCTGCCAGCAAATTTGAAAATTCACTTTAAAAAAATTATGACTTAACCAGAGACTGAAAATAACGGGTCCACTTTGGTTCTATAAGGTTAATTGCTGTGATCACCATTTATAATTGTGTTTTTGCAGTTTATCACTTAAGAAAATTTTATGTTAGATTTTTTTTGATAAGTGGTTGAGAGAAACAAAATAATTCGCTACAATTGATTTTTATTTTGCAAACATTTTGAAAAGGTCTGCTTATGATTTTTATTTTTAAAAGGAAAACAATAAATCGCAAATGTAAATACACGATTAGGACACACATACTATCTTCGAAAATCATAGCAAACAACAACAATATACTCTCCCACTCTCATGTAAGCAAGAGAAACAAGTAAGAAATTATAGTCGGGCGAGGCCGACCATATAATACCCTACACCTTTGACAAAAATATAATGTGATTTAGTTGCCCCCACTAAAGTGGTGTAGGGTATAAAAAGGAATACAAAAACCTAGTGCTCAACCAAAAACATAAGTAACAAAACAAAAGTAGTAAAGGTTATACTAATCCATTTAGTATAATTTGTCTGTTATAGAAAACAAAATATTGTAAAAAAGAAATATGTAATATTACTAAAAAACATACAGTTTCCTTCTATTCGATTAACCGAATAATTTTGAATTATCCGATTATTAACCGGTTAACTTAAAACCTCAAATAATTATGTGTCGAATAAACCGAATAAGACAAAAACCCGAATAATAGAATACCCTAATATATATTCACATCAAATTTAAACACATAAATAAGAAACCATTCAAGTCTACTAAATATAACATATACTTTATACCTAAATTTACAAATATTATACATAATTTATTTAAATTAGCGATATTATTTCTATTTATCATTGTAAAATCTAAACACCAAAATAAAAAAACACTCCATTCTACTAAGCTAAACAAAAAACGCACGTAACACCAAAAACTTACAAATCAAACAAGTCAAGTCTTTTCAGCCATACTATCCAGGCAAATTACGTCTTACTATCCAGTCAAATTACGCTACTATCCAGTTTTTATTACGTGCATAGTAAGAAAAGGAAACCAAGAACTAAACGTCGTGTTCAGTTCGGTTGAGTTGAAAAAACTTAACATGGCCGCTGCTTGTTTGTGTGCCTGCCACTGTTGCCAACTTTTTTCCCAAAAATATCGCTAAAGTCGACTGAAAAATAGCTAGAAAATAGCTAAATTCACATTTTGAAAAATTTAGCGATAAATCGTCAAAATAATATTTATTATATGATTCTGAAAAGAAATAGCTAAAAAAACTAGCTAAATTTTTCAGATTTTTTATATTATTCTAAAAAGTCAGCGATTTATCGCTAAAATCTATATACATACGTAGGAATGGGATAGTGATACAAACACATCTTATAACAAACACATAAGAGAATCTTTTTTTTATGTTAAATATTTTCACTTTGGGTTAGGAAAAATGTCAAGTTGAGGTTAATTTCGATATGCGACCCTATACAGATTGCTTTAGAAATGTTGTAAAGATAAATTGAATTTCGAAATGCTGGCCTTTATGGATCGATCCTTTATTTTCGGCATAAGAGTATTATTTATTTTTCCATTACAATACAATTACAAATTATATTCTAACCTAATTTACCGAGCAGGGTGACGATAACCATACGACCGTTGTAGTGTAGCAGACCAGGATCTCTGCTGGGAATCGAACCCACAACCCCCAGACTGACAGGCTAGCACACTACCAACTAGCCTACCGGGGCACCCAAGATTATTATTATATACTCCTTTTGTGGGAAGTTTATCTGCAATATCGATATGCGGCCCTATACGCCTTAGAAATGTTGTACATTTTTAGGACTTTATGGATCGATCCTTTCGTCACTTATTTCCAATGTTCACTAATTTTTAGAATTATGGTAAATTTTATTATCATATCACTCATTTACTAAAAGACTAGAATAATTAAATATTCGTTTTTTAATTGAGTACAACAAAATATACCCCTTTTAAAGTTTTTCGTATAACTTTACCTGTACGCACAAATATTTGCTCCTAATTATGTTCTTCAGAACATTTAAAATAAGTATAATACACACAGCTAAAACTCAAATAATTTACATTGAATGCATATTTTTATATACATACATATATGTAAATATCGTCATTCGTAACAATCTTTTAAGCGATATTATCAAAATAATCATATTTTTCCCCGCAAAATGGGATTAAAAATCGCTAGATTTGACGAGAAAATAGCTAAATTGGCAACAGTGGTGCCTGCTAAAGAAAAACAAAACCACTTGCTAGTTATTGCAGCAGCGTGTGCGCAATTGTGTTCAATTAGTTTGTGATTAAAAATTTTAACAAGTTACTTATTTTTTAGCCTAGAACTAGATTTAGTAAACATTTTAGTAAATTTCGACTGCAATTAGTAGTTTTTCAAATCCCTGATTTTAGTTTGTTAGTTTATTTGTTTTTTAGACCTTTTTGGTTGATTTCAGAAATGTTGGGTTCGTTCGGCTTGAGGTTTTTTCATTGAATAAACATTAAAAACTCTTTTTTTGTTCTGAATTTTATTAATATTTATTGCGGTTTCCAATATTTCGACCAACTTCGTTGGTCATCTTCAGTGAAAATTCTACAAATAAAACATAAAGTACTATAACAAATAATAACAAAACAAATATCATATAAACAATAACAAATAATTTCCTTACATTTAATTTTAATGCAGTGTCGTCTGTTGTTTATGTTTTGATCTTCTATGACTGACTGTTTTGATTTTATTCTTTTGTTTATTGTTTCTGTATTTATTTATTGTATGTCGATAAATGTGAGCGCAGTTGTCAGTGTCGGGTTTGTAATTTATTCTCTTTTCTGTTGGTGTATTTATAATGTGGAGCATCTCTTGTAAGTAACGTTTTGTGTGATTGTTCTCTCCATCTAATATTCTAACTTTTTCGAAGTCTGGTTGGTGTCCAGTTATTGCACAGTGGGCAGCGAGAGCTGTTTTCTGATTTAATGGTTTGTCAAGTGTTTTCAAATCTGATTTGTGCGATGATAATCTTGTCCTCAGTTTTGTTTTCGTTGTACCAACATATACCTTCTGGAATATGTCGGTTTCGTCACCATTACATTTACACTAGATTGGATTTATCTAGTTTATCTAATTTGGACTTCATGTTATTAAATAATTTATGTGTTGTATTATTAGTCTTCATTGCCAGTGTATATTTTTTTTGTCATATACATATGTCAGAATGTCTTATTCTCCCGGATAGTCCTGAGATATATTCCACTGATTGGTATATTTTCCTCGATGGTTCTCTCGTTTTGCTATTTTCCCTGTTCTCCTAATTTAAAAACGTTGTCTATCAAATGGTTTATCGTATTGTATGGGAAGTCGTTTTTGAGTAAAATATTCTTAATTTTACTAAGGTTGTTCTTATGAAATTCCGTGTTGCTGGTGTCCAATACTCTTGTGATGAAATTCGTCGCAGTATTCATAATTATTCACTTAGGATGTTTTGAATAGAAATTAATAAGCCTACCCGACGCCATCGGTTTTTGATACCAGTCCAACTTCAATCATATTCCCTCTTCAAGTAATTATTGAATCCAAATATGGTAATCTGTTGTCTACTTCCTTCTCCAACGTAAATTGTATCTGTCTATGAAAGGCATTTAGGGTTCCTAAAGTAATTTCCAATTGATCTTTTTTCAAAATTCCGAATAGGTCGTCCACATATTGTGTCATTAATCTTGGTTTGTTTTCCAATTGATCAAAGGTTGTTTCCAATAGTTCTTCCATGACTATATCGGCAATTATTGGGAAAACTGGGGATCCCATTATCATCATTAATGCCCCGATTACCGTTCACAACAATTATTATTTTAATGTTGTATGTTGTAAATTGCGATTATGATTGACAACACTTACGTGCAGTGTTGTATTTTGAGTTGTCTATGTAAATTTACTCATATTATCGTTTACAACATGTCTTCCTGTGTGTCGTTAGAATTATCAAAAACTTACAACTGCTCATTAGCTGTTGTGTATTGAGTTTTTAAGCGTAAAAAAATTTAAAATTAAAATGGATAAAAGTTTGTAAGTTACATATAATATTTTTGCGAAACGTTTATTAATGTAATTGTAAATATTTCTTAGAAAAATAACTAATAAAAAGCAGATGGAAAAGCTGGTGGATCTGATGACACAAAATCCAGATATTGCACGGGGAAAGTTTCCATTTGGGTATAACAAAATGCAGCTTAAAGACAAATGGGATAATTTTACGGAGCTATTAAATGCCTTGGGACCACCGATTAGAAGCACTAAAGAATGGCAAAGAGTATGTATTAGATGCATTAAAATGAACTAGACTTAAACATTAATTTTATTTTATTTAAGGTGTGGACTCACTACAAAGCCAACTTAAAAAGAAAATTAGCTGCAAATAAAAAAAACTTTCAAGCTACAGGTGGTGGTCCGTCCACAGAAGTAAGTTTGAGTCCACTAGAACAAAGCACTGTGGAACTTGTCTCAATGCAATCGCAAGTCAACCCAAATGGATCTGCAATGGGATTGGACATTCAAGAAGATTCCGATGAGGTGGAATCAATATTTGTACCTTTGGAAGCTTCAACGCTTCCTGAGCAGCATAGTCCGGAAAGAGAACTGCCAAAAAGTCGCAAGCGGTCAAAAAATAAGATGAAGGAAGATCGCTTGGAAATACTAAAAAACAAGCTACAAATCAGGAGGAAATCTTGCGGACATTGAAACGCATGGAAAAGAATTCATACAAAAACTATGAAATAAACAAAAAAATGTATGAATTAAAAAAGAAAAAGGCTGATTTACAAATGAAATTAATAAAAGCCAAAATCCAACTTACAAATAAGAGAATAGAAGAGATGTGATGTACAAGTCTTTAATTTTGTTTTAATAGATTAAGAATGTATGTGATCACATAGAAGACACAATGAATTTTTTCCTTTTTTAAGTTTTTGTTTTCTATGTGATCACATAAAAAACATGAATTTTTGTGATATTTTTACTTTTTTCTTTTTAATGTTAACTATTTTATATACATATATTTAAGTTTTTCTTTTATTTTCTATACATTTGTGATATTTTTACGATTTTTTTCTTTTTTACTACTAACTACTTTTGAAGTGAAATAAAAGCAATGAATATAATTTAAAAATAATGTTTATTCGTTTAGAATTGCTAGCATTAAATTATTTCTAATTTGTTGTGAGGACTCTTCTATGTTTCTTTCTGTAGCTTCCCCAACATCTATGTATGTATTTATAGGCAAAATCGTTTCATCATGAAATTCGGTCTTGAAGTGTTGGCTTAAATTATGCAATGCGCAACACACATTTGTAATTTGAGTTGCTTTTTCCGGAGCATAGTGCAAACCTCTTGCAGAAAGCAAACATCGAAATCTGCTTTTAAGAACCCCAATTGTTCTTTCAATAATATTTCTTGCTTTTGCATGAACTGTATTAAAGCGTCTTTCTTGTGATCCTTCTGCAGCGCTTCGAAATGGCGTTATTAAAAATGGTTCCAATGGATACCCGGCATCACCTAAACATTTGAAAATATGTAGCATATTTGGTTATAATGAGTTTTAAGAAGCATTATACTTCGTACCTAAAATCCAGGTATTATCCTCCATTGTATTTTGTAAATATTGTTTTAGTTCGCTCATATTCCACACGAAGGAGTCATGGTTAGAACCGGGATATCGAGCATCATTCATTTCAAAGTCGCACAACTAAAAAATACATTTTTAAATAATAGTTTTAATTAAAAATTACCATCCTTACAATCATAACATTCAAGCTGTAATATCCCTTTCTGTTTAAATATAGATGTTGTAATTCCTTTGGAGGCGCTACAATTCGTACGTGTGTACCATCTATACAGCCAATTACTCCTGGAAATCGTGTTTTTGAGTAAAAGGACGTCTTACTATTGCTCTTTTCCTCTTCCGTCATCCGAGCATTTATCCACTTTTTGCAAATTTTTTGTTCAAAGAATTGTATTATTTCTTTCAAAATGCAGGAAACAGTTGGTTGCGAAACGCCAACATTAAAATCATTCCCGCTACATTTTTGGTAGCTACCATCAGCAAAAAATCTCAAAGCACAACACAACTTTAAAACTGGTGGAATGGCAGAACACCGAGTGGAAGGCTTTAAAAAAATATCCAGTTTTTGCAGCAATAACAAAAAACAATCCTTGTTTATGCGAAAAAAATTTATAAAACTAAAAATATATTTTAGTTAAACTTCCTCACTCTTTACAAATAGTACTTACTCAGCGTTTGGTAGTTCCAATGGATTGGAACTGTCCCGAATACTTTTCCGGATACGTGCCATGTGCGTTTTTTTGCTACCCTCATCATTATCATCATTAAAAAATAATTCTACGTTAATATCCATTATTTTTTATTTAGTCGCAATATAAATTTTCTTAAACGTTTTTTTAATTGAAATTTTTCGCTCGCAGGTATGTATTTTTAGGGAAATGTGTACTACAATTAAAATGCAACTCTGTGACATACTCAACAACTAGGTGTTGTAAATCATAATAGAAAAAAAAGTTTATGTTGAGTTGTATCCGAGACAACACAACATTTTTGTGTTGTGAACCGTAATCGGGGCATAAATTTAAAATATCTACAATCTTTTATACAAAACGTCAATATATCCATAAACAATTCTCTTGGTATTTTCGTATGTTCTTCTAACATATGCCATTTTCTGTCTATAATCTTCATTGCCAGGTTTATTGGAATACTGGGAAATAAAGAGACTACGTCGAATGATACCAGTATCTCATCATCCTCTATTCGTGTGCTGTCAATTCTATTCTTAAATTCCTTTGCGTCTCTTACGTTATAAATAGAATCATTTGTCAATTTTTTTAAATGTCAATTATATATTTACTCAGATTGTATGAAGGTGAGTTGATCGATGAGCAGATAGGACGTAATGGCATATCCTTCTTATGGATCTTTGGGAGACCATATATCCTTGGGGATATAGCAATCCTCGTTGTCAATTTCTTTTTGTCAAGTAAATTTATAACATTAAGCTTGTATAATTTTTCAACAAGGATGTTGTTCTTATTCTGAAGACCAAGTGTAGGATCTTTCTTAAGGCGTCTATATGTACACATGTCATTAATAATATCCCTCATCCTTGTATTATAATCGCCTTTAGTCATTGCGTCTTATTACCCTTATCTGAATTCAATATAATTATGTCATTATTTGTCTCCAAATATTTTTCACATTGAACCACTGTATTCAAAATCAGTTTATCCCTTGCGTTCATTTTCGATTTTCTCATATGGTCATCAATTAATGTTACAAATTTTGTTCTTGATATATCTTGTTGCTCTTTATCCTCAATCAATTTTACTTTCATTGTCATGAATCTGTGTGTGTTTTTGTTGTATTAATAATCTTAAAATAATATTATGAAAATTATATATATGTCCGTGTAGGGTTTTGTCCAAACATTCGGTTAAGTTACAATTTTCCATGAAAATCCTGTTAATGTTAACTGTTGCCTTGACTATGAATCCAGGTATTAGTCCATTTTCTCTGCATTTTATAAGGAAAGTTGTTGATGATCTCAAGTTGGCCAATTGTTTATTATGTTTTGAAAAAGTCTTTATCACATTATTTGTATTTTTATCGTATTTGTGTTTGATGTTCCTATACAGCGTCATGTTTAAGCTGTTGACGGCGCACCTTCCGTGTTGTTTGTTAGTTTATTTGTTTTTTTAGACCTTTTTGGTTGTTTTCAGAAATTCAAAATAAAATTCGTTCGAATAATTTTAATTTTAAGTGTATTATATAATAGATAGTACAATCTAATCACCTAATATTAATTATTGGGAATATACATAAATATTGAAATTTTTAGTAATATATACATATGTATTATATATGTATTATATGAATATTAGAAAATTAGGTGACATTTAAGATTTAAAAAAATTGTTTATAAATTTATTGAGTGTATTAATAACAAAAGTAATATTTAATTCAAATAATCAAACAAACAAAAAAATTCTTGGCAACTCTAATTTAAATCCTGAATATTATGCGAAATTATTCAAATGTATTACTTTCTATGTATGTATATGTGTATAAAAATTTGTATTGTGAATGAGAGTAAATCAATTATGGCTGACAATATAAAAAAATAACACAACTTACGTTTAATTAATGTCCAACGATGTCAGCAAGCGCCGGATGACAGTAGACGGTTGCGTAGTGCACTTAAATTTTCACATTCTCAATTAAATTTGTACAAAATTAAGATTATGGATATGGTTGGTGTAATAGCTAAGTGGATTGTATTATTGATGAGATTTTATATTCATTTTTTTATACAATCCACATAGTAAGGTGTTGAAATAGACTAATATTTAATAATTAATTTAATGTAGTATAATTTTAGGTGTTTATATAATTTCCTCCAATATTAAGGTGACCACATCTACATTTTTAAATGTATTAACTTATGAGAACTCAAATTTATATTAATTATTTCCATATTAAGATTTCAAAATTTTGTAAAAAACAATTTTAGATTTTAACAGAAAAATTTGTTTCTTGGAATTTATATAGTTAATTTTGGAAATTTTCAAAAGGATTAATGATATTTGGGGTTTCCAACAGGATTTTAAAAATTTCGAAACGTTTGGATTTTATAAATAAAAAAAATCACAAATCTGGAGCCTAAAGTTTTCATAATTTATTCCAAATAAATAGTTTCAGTATTTGATTTTAGTCTTATTTATACAGATGACCAAAATTTTGGTTTTCCCTTAATGGGAAGACTCGAAAACGATACACAAATTATGATTATAACAGCTGCACTATTCAATAGCAAATAAAGAATGTTGCCAGTTGATGACAAAACGGAATTGCTTTCACTATATTCTGACTTAATGTCCTTTGTAGGAAGATGTGAGCAACACACAGTACATTTCAGAGAACGGTGTTAAAATCCTTAATAGCAATAATAAAATGTCCAATATATTCCTGGTGTCTCCTTATTTTATCCTTCTACTTCTATTTAGTTCAAACAAAATTTTTCAAATGAGGAAAATTTTAAAATTTTCAGATTAGGAAACAAAATTCATGGCCAATTACGAAGCAAATAAAAAAATATTTAATAAGTAACAATCAATATTTTTCCTATCATTACAATTTTCCTACACTCAACGAAATTCTCATAAAGAAATAATATCACTGAAATAATATTGATAAGAAAATAGTGCTACAGTTCAGTTGTCACCCTCACACTGCAACAACTAGAGTCCTCAAATTTTGTGTGGACAACTTTGACATCCACATGAACATATGGGGACAATATGGACGGACTAGCTATAGTGGGCGTGGCGGACTAGCATATAAAGAAAATCTTAAATTAGTATATCTGAGCTAGAGTTTTTCGGAGCCACTTTTGAATCAACATGAATACTTAGGACAAAAAATTAGCGGAATAGCAATAGCGGACGTGGTAATCCCATATTAAAATACAAATAAATACAAAAAATCGTTTATTTGGGAAACTATTGGAGCTGGAATCTTTAAATTTTACACGAAGCACTTTAACATCTATGTGAACATTTTGAAGGAAAAATTGGCGGACTAGCAATAGGGGCCGTGGAACCTCCCAATATGGATTAAAATAAAAATTCGTGTAACTGAGAAACTAATAGAACTAGAATCTTCAAAAATCATAAAGTGCGATTTTTATTTATACTGTTTTTAGGGTAGCAAAGCACTGGATATAGCTAGTATGCAATAAAATTCAACATAATCAAGTTTAAAAGGAACTAAAATGTCTCTGTCGAATTTTATGACAATCGGTACATAACTGACCCTCATATAGCTCCCCTTCAGAGAATGGGAATCCCCGATTCCCGAAAATCCCGGTATTTTAAAAGTACCGAAAAAAGGGACTTTAAAAAATTAAATCCCGGGGAATTTCGGGATTTTAAAATTCTGAATTTTGAAGTGTTTTTCCGCTATTTTATACATTATAAAGTATTAAATAAGAGAATTTTAAAAATTGTTGGACTTAAGATGACTCTACTAACAACAAGCTGAAATATCAAAAATAACAAGTAAGATTACATTCGGCTATACCGAATCTTATATACCCACCATCAAACCTCGTTTGACTCGAATGAGACTTACTTATGTCAAATTTCATCTATATATTCGTATTTTTAGGCCAGTTATAAGCGTTAAAGTAATTTTCTGAAGGGGACCTTATATAGGGGGGTAGGGTCAATTATGGGTCGATCCTCATAAAATTTGGTAGACAGAATTTGGTTCGTATTAAATTTATTTGTGTCGAATTTCATCGCTACACTCGTATTTTTAAGTCATTAATGAGCGTTGCAGTCATTTTCTGAAGGGGACCTTATATGGGGGGTAGGGTCAATCATGGACCGATCAACAAAAAAAATTTTAGATAGATTTTGACTCGTATGAAACTTACATATGTCGAATTTCATCTATATACTAGTATTTTTAAGCCAGTAATGAGCGTTAAAGTCATTTTCTAAAGGAGACCTTATATGGGGGGTAGGGTCAATTATGGACCGATCCTCATAAAATTTTGTATAGTGATTTTGGATCACAAGAAACATACTTATGTCGAATTTCATCACTATATTCGTATTTTTAAACAAGTTATGGCTGTTAAAGCTGCTTTTGTATGGGGGCTATCCGAAAACGTGGACCGATATTGCCCATTTTCAATACCAAACAAACCTTACCTTTTAAAAATATTTATATGAAATTACAACCCTC